TCAGAAAAGTGATTGGAGGCATAGTCCAAGTGGTGGCCTTGAATGAAAAAGCTGAGCAAGACTAAATATGAGGTCCTAAATTCAAGCCTCAATACACTTACACACACACACACACACAAAGTTGGTGCTGTTGCTTCACACTTGTCCAAGCCAGCCTGGACAGAAAAGCAAAGTGCTGAACAGGAGGCTGGCTGAAGTGGTACAGCACTGGTCATAAACAAGAAAGGATCAATTAGCTTCCCAAGTAGCTAGCTGCAGAACCACCTGAACCTAGCTGAATTGCTTGTTTTGGTTGTTGTTGTTAGTCATGGGGCTTGAACTCAGGTCCTGGGAGCTATCCCTAAGCTTTTTTTTTTTTTTTTTGCTGGTCATGGCACCTGAACTCTGGGCCTGGGCGCTGTAGCTGTCCCTCAGCTCTTCAGCTCAAGGCTAGCACTCTACCACTTGAGCCATAGTGCCACTTCCGGCTTTTTTCTTTTTGCATATGTGGTGCTGAGGAATCGAACCCAGGGCCTCATGCATGCAAGGCAAGCACTCTACCACTGAGCCACCTTCCCAGCCCCTATCTCTAAGCTTTTTTTCTCAAGGTCAACACTCTACCACTTTGAATCACAACTCTACTTCTGGTCCTTCCTTCCTTCCTTCCTTCCTTCCTTCCTTCCTTTTTCTTTCTCTCTTTTTTTTTTGGTCAGCCATGGGGGCTTGAACTCTGGGCCTGGGTGCTGACCCTTAGCTCTTCAGCTCCAAGTAAGTGCTCTACCATTTGAGCCACATCACCACTTCTGGTTTTCTTGTGACTTTTTGGAGATGAGTCTCATGGAGGCCAGGAGCCGGTGGTTCACACCCCTATAATCCTAACTACTTAGGAGGCTGAGGCCTGAGGATTGCAGTTCAAAGCCAGCCTACCTGGGCAGGAAAGTCCCCGAGACTCTTATCTCCAGTTAACCACCAGAAAACCAGAAGTGATGCTATGGCTCAAGTGGTAGAGCACTAGCCTTGAGCTGAAGAACTCAGGGACAGCGGCCAGGCCCACAGTTTAAGCTCCATGACTGACAAAAAAAAAAAAAAAGTTGGGGCTGGGAAGGTGGCTCAGCGGTAGAGTGCTTGCCTGCATGCATGAGGCCCTGGGTTCGATTCCTCAGCACCACGTGAACAGAAAAAGCCAGAAGTGGCTCTCTGACGCAAGTGGTAAAGTGCTAGCTTTGAGCTGAATTGATCAGGGACAGCGCCCAGGCCTAGAGTTCAAGCCCCATGACCAACCAAAAAAAAAAGTCTAACGGACTTTCCTGCCAAGGCTGACTTTGATCCTCAGATCTTAGCCTCCTGTGTAGCTAGGATATAGGCGTGAGCCACTGGCGCCAGGCTTACTTCTGGTTTTCTGGTTAATTGGAGATAAGTCTCACGGGATACTCAGGTGTCTGAGATCAGAGGATTGAGGTTTGAAGCCAGACCAGGTAAGAAAGTCTGAGACTTTTTTGTTGAAGCCAGACCAGTTAGGAAAGTCTGAGACTTTTTTGTTGTTATTGGTTGTGGGGCTTGAACTCAGGGCCTGGGTGCTATCCCTGAGCTCTTTTGCTCAAGGCTAGCACTCTGCCATTTTGAGTCACTTCTGTTTTTTTAGGGGCTAACTGGAGATTGTTAGGTTTTTAAAAAGAGGTAGCCGAGTAAGAACAGCACCACGCACATGGTATTCAGGTAAGGGGTAGGTTTATTCAGTAGACCTGCTGGGACCAGGCCAGGTTGGCACTCCACGTGGCTGGCAAAGACCTGGGAAAGAGCTGGGGAAGAAAGAGCTGGGAAAGAGAGCTGGGAAAGAGCTAGGAAAGAGAGCGTCTGGGCCTGGGCTAGGCCTTATCTAGGGAATGGGCGGAGAAAGGTGTGGCCACATCAAATTCAGATGTGACCTCAGTGGATGCAGATGTGACCTCTTCCAGGTGTGCCAGTTGCCTAGGTAATGAGGGTACTGGGTGGAGACTTTGCTGCGAGGGTGGAGTCTGCTCACCATCCAGGATTGGACCTTACAGAGATGACTCTCATAAACTTTCCTGCCCGGGCTTTGAACTGTGATCCTTAGATTTCAGCCTCCTCAGCAGCTAGGATAATAGGCACAAGCCCAGTGCCTGGCCCTATACAATTCTGAATGTCTTTTCTCAACCAGTCTTGAAATTTACATTTATGTAATATGTGTTTATCCAAGCAATATTTCATATGCATAGAAAAAGAAAATACATTTTTTTTTTGGGTCAGTCATGGGGCTTGAACTCTGGGCCTGGTGCTCTCCCTGAGCTCTTCAGCTCAAGGTTAGTGCTCTACCACTTGAGCCACAGCACCACTTCTGGCTTTTTGTTTATGTGGTGCTGCTGAGGAATTGAACCCAGGGCCTCATGCCTGGGAAACAAGCCTTCTACCACCGAGCCACCTTCCCAGCCTACAGTATGTTCTATAAAGGGTCTAATGGGATTTTTTTTTAACCTCCTTCAATGTCAGTAGCTTAAGAAATATATGAAATAAGTCAGATGCCAGTGGCTTACGCCTGTAACCCTAGTTACTCAGGAGATTGAGATCTGAAGATTGTAGTTCAAAGTCAGCCCAGGTAGGAAAGTCTGAGAGACTCTTATCTTCAATTAACCTAGTGCCCAGCTCTGATTTCAAGCCCCACAACTGAAAAATTAATTACATAGTTCTTAGAAAATAATGATCAGGAGCAAACTTTTGTCTTTGCTCCTAAGCTGCTTTTATTTGCTCCAATTAGTGTGTCTTGGGGTTTAAACTTAGGGCCTGGGGGGGCTGGGAAGGTTGCTCAGTGGTAGAGCGCTTACCTTGAATAGATGAGGCCTTGGGTTTGATTCCTCAGCACCACATAAAACAGAAAAAGCCAGAAGTGGCGCTGTGGCTCAAGTGGTAGGGTACTAGCTTTTCGCTGAAGAGCTCAGGGACAGCGCCCAGGCCCAGAGTTCAGGCCCACAACTGACCCAAAAAAAAAAATTTGACTTAGGGCCTGGGCACTGCCCCAAAGACTAGTATTCTACTACTTGGACCCTAGCTCCACTTCGTTTTTTGGTGTTTAATTGGACTTAAGAATCTCATGGAAGGGCTGGGAAAGTGGCTCAGTGGTAGAGCGCTTGCCTTGCATGCATGAGGCCCTGGGTTTGATTCCTCAGCACCACATAAGCAAAAAGAAAAAAGCTGGAAGTGG